TGAACTCTAAAAATAACCCTATCATAATAACCCTATCATCACTTAACTTTGCAAAATGTTTCCCAGGAGTCACTAAATTCAGTGACCCCTGGAAAATCTTTTGCAAAGTTGAGTAATCCCGTAGAAACTTTTCGCAAAGTTTAGTGATGAATATGATGATTTTTAAAGTTTGGTGATCATATGAAAATCTTTTTGCAAAGTTCAGTGATAATTTGAGTGATTTTTAAAGTTAAGTGACCCCTTGAAAACTTTTTGCAAAGTTCAGTGACTATATGTGTTATTATCTCGGCTATTTTACATGCACTTATTATGTGGCTTATGATATTCCGTTGTGGGTTTCTTGAAATAGTTTCAAACTTTACCATTTAACAGTATTGCTCCTTTACAAATTAATGAAAATTTCTCATCATTTTGATGAAAAATTGTTTCAGGTATGTAGGTGAGATTAAAATCATTAGCTTTTTAGATTAAATAAAAGAAAGTTGGGTCGACTGATCTGTCCAACTTTAATGCATTTAGATGAATCAAGTGATCATAGTAATGCTTACAAATTTTATCTCAACTAAGTTTAACTTAAATGCAAATGAACAAGAGGAAACATGTAATGCACGAATCTGATTAAGCTGGACTTGGATTTAACTCAATTACAATTTATTTTAGATCGTCTTGGTGAAAACCTAAATCAAGTTTATTGAACCTCAATTTGAACAAAATTTTCTTTAGCACAAGCAAACGTATTTACAATATAATTAAATCAATAAATCTAGGAATTTACAAGATTTAGATGTTCCAAAATCAAGCATACTATTCACACTCCGACACAATCTCTCTACCAGACATTTTGCTGTGGAAAAACCTTGTTTGGCCAGGCTCAAAGCCAGGTCAAAAAACAAGGCTCTTTGCGGTCTCTTTTCCTAAGGCTTCGAGGACAGGTGATGGTAGGCATACGGAATAAGTGACATGTTGATGACAAACTTTTTAGATGAATAAATTAATAGGGAAAACATCATTTTTAAACATCTTTAGCCAACAACGGGAACAAAGAAGTGCAATATATTCTCGTCACCTTAACAATTGTATTGAGGGTAAGGACAGGGCCGGTCCTGGGCTGAGGCATTTGAGGCCTCAGCCTCAGGCCCAAAACCCTTAGGGGGCCCAATTTTGCTTCAAATTTTTTTTTTTTTTTTTTTTTGGGATAGTTTTGGATTTTGGATATTATTTTAATTTTGTATTGTTTTCGTAAACTTGTAATGCTCAAATTTTTGCGTACATAATTGAAAATGTTATTAGATTTTTACGTAAATTTTTACGTTGATTTCGTCCGGGGGCCCAATTTACGGACCTCGCCTCGGGCCTCCATTATCACAGGACCGGCCCTGGGTAAGGATGGCAAAAATACTGTCAAATTCGATATCCATGGGGCCCCGCCCCCATTACCCACTTAATCGGGTTGAGTATGGGTAACAGGGGCCCCGCCCCTGCCTAGTTTAATTTTTGATTTTTTAATTTTTTAAAATTCAATATTTTAAATGGAAAAAACTCACGAAATTTTATTAATTATAATAGAAATGGCAACTAAAATTATTTAACGAATATGATAAACAATAAAAATCTTAGTTTACCAAATATATTCGAATAATTTAACTTTTAAAAATAAATAATTAATTAAAATTTTAATAACCATATTATTGTCTCGCTTGAATGAATGTGAGCAGTAAAATGAATTATCAAAAGCTATTAAAAAAATTAAACAAGTATATAAACGGGACAATCGCCCCACCTTGCCTTAAATGGGTAACGTGGCGAGTACAGGGAAGGAAAATGTCTAGCCCCCTCCCTCCCACCCCTGTTGCCAACCCTATTTGAGGGAACGCTTTAAATTATGAGTGTGGAATGCGTGTTTAGATAAAATACATGGAACCCCACAATAATAAGAGAAAAAATTTTAAGCCCTTGTTTGATTTTCATTTTTGGAATAAAATATATTGTGGAATAGTGGTTTTTTGGAGAATATGTGGTCAAAAAATAAAGAAAAATTTTGAAATACGTGTATAATTATTTTATCGAAAAATGTATGTTGAAAATGAGTTTTGAAAAAATACATTTCTGAAAAAATGGAGCTCAAACAAGGACTTAATGTACAAACAATAAATGACCCAAGTGTCATCGGGACATACTAGGATGCAGAAACTAGAATGTATGCCTGTACGAAGTCTGCATCAGCATTTGCTGTATCATCTTGTAAAATAAGAACATTATAAACAAATTGTCCTGGCACTTCATGTTTTTGCATCAGTCCAAGCTACTCTCATAAAATGAAACAAAACGTCATGTTATTTCACACTTAAGACGACGAGAACATTGTTTAATAAGCTGGACAAGACGACTTCAGACAAGCATCTTTCTTTTATGTCACTCTTGTTTAGTCTTAATTAGTCTTCACAAATCACAATTAATCCTCAACTCAGGCAGATCAGCCCGAAGAGATTAGTATCATGTATCTTTCAACAATGATCAGTAGTGAAAAATCAGTAAAATAACCCTTTCTCAACATCTAAACCTTCTCGTTCTGCCAGCATTTGAACGTGGTTTTGGACTCGGTCTGCATCAATTTGGTTCGGTTCGAGTAACATGCACATGTCTCCGTGTTTGGTTGCCCATAAAATTGGGTCGATAATACCCGAGTTCACGCCTGACGATATCTAGTGCCTTTCCTGTTGGGTGTTGATGCACGAGGATCCGAGTCGAGTGATGCTGATTTGTCGGATAGCACGATGATAGCGCTGAGATACCATGAGATTGGCGAATCGGTGCAAAGATGGAAAGTGAATCACCATTATTTCCTTAATTGGGGGAATTTGACGCGTCTTTGGTAATTTGGTCATAACTTTGGCTACGGTTATCGGAATCGCTATTATGACCCCAATCCGGAAAACTCTCTTCGGCGCGCACGTCGTGGCCACCCAGCTTTGCTCGGTGGACGTCTATTTCAAGCCCAAAATCCACTGTTTTCTTTTCCAAAATTCAATTTTAAGTTATTTTTTACTATTTATGGTAATATTTAGTTTTCTTTTTTCTATATGTTAGAGAACTCGAATTAAGTCAAATTTTTGGCAACTTACTTCTTTTACTTAATATTTTATTTTGGTATAATTTCGGGATTTTGCCATTTTTGGTAATTTTCCCATAATTTCGTATTTCGTAGCTATTTAACCCGACTTGTGGGTTAGTTTTCAGCATTCTGCATTATTAATAATATTGAGTTGAATTCAGAGTCTTTTCTCTAGTTTTTTGGGCGTTTTCTGTCATTCTTTTCTTACGAATCATCTGCTACAACAAGCCAATAAGATAATCACTATCCTATCCAGCGCCAGGTGTGCTACAGCATATAGATATACTGGTACTAAATTAAATTTAATGTAATCATGCCAGTATTAAATTGATGATTATTAATTAAGTAGATACTATATGTTGGTGTAAAGATAAGGTCAAAGACTGATAATATATTAAATCAAATGGTATCGGCTATAACGTGGATAACAATTTAATTTGTAAATACAAGTAATCACCTAATTATTTGAACAATATGTATGGGTCAATTAATCCGATCCACACAATCAAACATCTTTTTAATGCTACCAATAGTTCGGTTCATAATAGTCATGCCAAAGTCATCCTTACCGACTTACAGTATAGTTGGGTCACCAAAATTAAGTTCTAGAAAAAAATTTCGGCCAAGTGATCGAGTCTATAACTTAATTTATCGAGGAATATATAATTTATAAATTGTAGTGACGTTGATAGGGATGGGAATTCGAACTGTCAAAATCAAAAATTACGATTAATCAAACCAAATGAGACGAAAAAAACTGAACCAATGACGTAATGGGATGAATATGGTATCTAATTTTAATGCTTCGGTTCGAGTCAGGGCGGGGCGGGACGGGTATGGTATTTATGCTGTCGCTCCACCCCGAACCGATTACCTGTTAAAAGAAAAAATAATTGGATAATTGGACTTTCCATTATTCTTTCTATGATTCTGTCCAACCCAAAATTCTGACCCATCACCGACCCGTTAAGTCCAACTAACCTAACCCAATAACCCTACTCTCTACTATACAGAAATTAAACATATATGAAAAGTGTTTGTTAAATTCGAATTTTGCATTTGAGAATTGAAATATTGTTTGCATTTTTATTTGGAATATTGTTTGCTAAATTGGCTTAGTATTGTGTTTTTCTTTTTATTGACTTTTTTTTTTCATATATTTTTATTTTTTTTTCAATTTGACGAAGAGACCTATAAAAAATAATTTGTTATCGTGATTATTAACCACTTGAACCGATTCAAACCAAACCAAACCAAACCAACTTACCATGATATGACCAAAAAATTGGTGATTCGGTGATGATTTTGATCAAACCGACCCCGAATCGAATCGTTGCCAACCCTAGATGTTGGCAGTTCGTATATCTATTTACTCATGTTTAGCATTTAGGCGTGCACGTGAATATAAGCCCTTTATGTCGAAGGGACAATCTGATCCACAAATTTAGATAGTCAGCTAATCAAATTATACCTTTAATTGAACTTTTATTTTCTAATTTTAAGCCCTCAAATAAAAAAAATAAAAAATAAATAAAAAAAAAGAGCCTTTCTTGCATTCTTGGAACATTTTGGACTATAATCTTCTCAAAGTTAGAGATGTCTTAAGTTACTCATTCCATCAAATTATATAACAAGCATTGCACCAAAATTTGGTCGATTCAGCCAAATCTCAAACGGTTCACCCCTTACCATTCGACTTATCCAACCATTTCGTCCTTAACCCTTTCCCTTTTCTAAATTCACATCCAGGCTGATTTTCGAAAAATTGCTCTAAATGCATCAAAAACCTTCTCTAGAAAACTCCAAAAACCAGATTTAATCACCTAATTGCCACTTGCATTCTAGTTTAACCACCTGTCCTCTAAACAAAAGAGAATTCGTTATGCAATATAGGCAATGTGCATCATTTATTGTTAAGAAAAATGAATTCAAAACCGAAGAGAAGGATCACATGGTGATGATGTTCATTGTTTTACATTATTAAGACAACATTATGCAAAGTGAATCGAAAGATGAAAATGCAATGACCAGGCAAAGTAGCATCTTTCACAGCCATAACCCGAACAGGGCATTCAAATGATCATTCAAATTGACTGGAAACAGGCAAACTGTCCCCATACAACAAAATCGGAACACAAATGTGAGTTGAACATATTAGAAGAAAAAAGTTTCTCACGACGTTTAAAATCCACGCCCTAGTGTGTTGCTTCCACCAGTTTCTGCAAGATGAAATTTAATAAGCAAAGGTATAATTATATCAATTAAGATTCAGTCTGCACTTGTCTGATATGTAATGCAACAAACTATAGAACATACTTTACATGTAATGCAAAAGGCAAATGCCTGATTATTTCCATACAGTTTATGAAACTTTGCTAACAGTCTGCATAAAACTCGTATTGTTTCACAAGTAGTCAGTTCGTAATGAGAATATATTCCTTTTTGTCCTCTCTTTTTTCCCCTTTGTGAGTGGGAGTACATCTGGCCGAGTATTGCACTAGGAAGGTCAAAAGTGAGTGTCTTGCACCACCCAGAAATGCACTAAAAAAGTCATATTATCCGGGACAAAACAGTTGTTACATCCACATGCTTGTAAGTAGAAACAATCAAGTCAACTGTAAATCTTTAATTCCTGTGCTCTCCTCTAAATAAATAGCTGTTGGGTACAATAATCAACCAAATTAATGGAATTTGAGCTGATTTCTTATCCTATCCCGTATTTGTTTACACCTAAGTTATGGCCCATGCAATAAATGTCATAATAAAAAATTGGCATGTACGATCAAGCCAACAGTACTACTTGGTACAAATACAAATCTCACATTAACCCAGGTTACATAATCTGTACTGTATATAGTTGACATTCGAAGGAAGAAACAAGTACCTCTTCATTGTTCTTCTTGCCCCCAGTGAAGAACTTGTACCCTCCAAAGATAAGCAAACCCCAGCCAGATAAAGAGACAATCACGAACTGCAATTGAAAGACGCACAAATATATAATTCACAGAATTTTTCACAAGTGATAAACCTTAATTTTATCTTAATGGTGTTACATATGAGAAATAAATGAACAATGAAAATATGAGCAGAACTGGAAAAAGTAGGATTCGATTCATCAAATGAAGAATATTTGCAGAATCTACAATTAATCCACAAGCCATAGGTTGAAAAGAATAACTTAGCCAAGCCGAATGTGCATGCCTAAACAACCAAAATTCTCTAAGCATGTAAGCACAAGGATTCAGTACAAGTGCACTTTGATAAACATATTACACGATATTGATTCTACACTCAAAGGGAAAAAATAAATAGTAACATTCCTTTACCAGGAATTCCCATAGGAAAATGAAGTGGTGGCTTTGATAATTAGCTAATTAATAAAATGAAAGGATGGTAAAAATTATACTTTTAGTTAAACTTTTGTTTCCAAGTTTAAGTAAAAAAAGGTTTACTTGTACTTACAGATGACGAGTGTGTTTTACTCACAAGTTTTATACCATTTTAAATTGATTATGGTTTTATATGATTGGTGAAATGATGCAAATCATGGAGAGAAAGGAGAAAACAAGGCAATTGGCATGGATTGAGGAGAAAAGAGAAACGAGGGGGAGGGGCAAAAGAATCAAATTTCAATATCAAAGGAAGGAAGAGATGGCACCCCAACACCACAACCTAGGCGCCATGGAGTATGTAGATAGAGGTGTGGACAACAGTGTGGTACTGCAGCGCCACTCATCAGTCACTGCAGTGCCACTATATACGTGGAGCTGAGGAACCACCTAATAATTTCTAGGGCGCTTTTTTTTTGTTGATAAAGCCCATAAAAACCCTAGAACAACCAAAATTGTGGAGGCAGATATAAATTTAACAAAGGAGGCAATTGAAAGGAGTTCCACACATTGAGAGATAACGAACACAACTGGAGATTGAAGAGCACAAATCAAAGGAGAAACATCACGAAATTCAAAGTTTGAAGTATTGATTGAAAGAGAGAGAAGATTTCGGTGCAAGATTAACTTCGTTTTCTACATTTTTATTCAAAATCTGGTGATGTATTCAATAACAATTTCTTATTTTTCGTTTTGCATTATGAGTAGCTAAATTTCACATTATGGCGAACAATGTAATATACTTGGAACCCTTCATTTCTTTTATTCAAAATTCTTATTATTTTATGATATATATGTTGATTTTACTATGTTTAATGCGTTGAATTACTTGATCACTAATTTAATGATTTTGTGAATCTTTTACGAATCTAGATGTGAGTTGAAATTTAAACTAGTATAACGTGTAGAAATACATATACTAATTATGGCGGTCGTTATACGAATTCTTAAAACGAATATTTCGTTTAATTAAAATTGATTCGCACAGAGATATGTGATTGAATCAGTTAAATAAACTCAACGAAAACTTGAGAGGGGTAAATTGAATATTATAGAAGAATTCGATTGAATACTACATTAGATTTGTAAATTTTAAATTAAGACATAAACGTGATCAATAGATGAAATTCTTCTAATCTAATATCTATTCTATATTGGAATTCTAAATCGATCTTTGTATGTATTTTCCTATTTTCAAGTATTTAAATAAAAAAATTCACAACAAATCATAATTCATTGTTTGTTTTCATAACATAGGAGTTAGAAAAATTAGATTAAGTATTAGAGTGTAGTCCTCGTGAAAAGGATATATTTTTTTTTTTTTAATGACCATGGGTGTTCGAACTAGCTTACGCATATCTTGACTAATCCCACAAGGCCCTAAAATTTACAGTCGGGTACTCACCTCAGTGATCCTGAAGAAACTCGAACCGGTAATCATTGGGGGCAAACCCAAGGCCTAGCCATTGAGCTACCCCTCAGGATTTCGTGAAAACGATAATATGAACTCAAAGTCCACTAAATTACTAGTAACGATATTGTACACTTGCTATATATAAAAACCCAAAATAGATAGTTGTCTTCTATTTTGGGTTTTTATATATCTTCTCAATTTACTCATTCCATCAAATCATGGCAATCATTGCACCAAAATTTGGTCGATTCAGCCAAAACTCTTAATATTTAATTCATCCAACCATTTGGTCCTTAACCCCTTCCCTTTTCTAAATTCAAATCCTACATCAAAAACCTACTTTAGAAAAATTGAATAAACCACATTTAATCACCCTATTGCCAACATGCATTCTAGTGTAACCACATCCTCTCAACAAAATAGAAATTTTAAGCAATATAGGCAATGTGCATCAATCATTGTTAAGTAAAATGAATTTAAAACCGAAGAGAAGGATTCCAGGAATCCCCATAGGAAAATGAAGTGGTGGCTTTCATCCTGAATTTTTTTCATGGGATTACCTGTAGCTAAAAATAAAAGACACATTTCACTCAGCAATAGACTTTAAATTCTGATATCTTTGAGTGGATTTCAATTGAACTATATCTTATCCTGAAAGTGCCTCTATAAATTCTACGCTCAAAGAAAGAGTTCACACTAGAATCATTAACAAATTTGCACGTTATGGTGCCAGTAAGCTTTGTCAGTACCTTTGCTATAACATAATTATTCGATCAATTTGTCCTTCCAAATTAACTACATATTGACCTCCAGTTCATTCATACTCAGAGTCCTTTATTGATTTATGTGTTGAAAATTCATTCCTCATGACCTTTGAGGAGCTCATTTTCGTCAGCATGGAGCTCATTTTTGCTTCATACATAAGCATTAACATGTCATTTTCTACTTTCACATATTCCAGGTCATCATCTTTATTTGTTGCATTACTAATGTTCATTCCTTGTCGAATCCGTCAACATATGTTTCAATGTCAAATTTTGATGCAGGAATAGCCCAAGGGAATAGAAAATCAAAGAAAAGATAGAAAATAATAAAATAAGAACAAATTTTTGAAAAAGAAATTGTATTGATGATTACAGAATTGAAAGATTACAAAATGGAATTTTGTAGAGAACGAGAACGAAAAAGAAAAATAAACTTCTATTGCCAAATTTGCTCTGTTTTGAAATAACCTCTTGAAATCTTTTTATACTTGAAATCCGAAATTGAAATTTCTTTCATTTGTCAGAAAGAATCTTGAATAGTCGAGTGGGAGACAACATAATGAAGAATCTTGAAATATGATACTCACTTTTGAATAATTGAGTCATCTTTTTCATTAACTTTAAAAAAGAAGATTCATTCTTTTAATAAAGTTATCTTTTTCTTGGAATGGACAGCAATCTCTTGAGAAAAAGCTGATTAGCTGGCATGCAAAATTTGAAAAGAATTTTCCTTACTTTATTGATTCGGTAATTTCTCAATTCTTCCAAAAAACTGGGTTCTTGTAGTCATTTGATTCTTACATTCTTCTCATAGGTAAGAAAATCATCATAACCTAAGTCAATTAGGTCATCACCATTGTCTGTCTCTTCAGATTCTTGATCTGAGTCTTGAGTACTTGATTTTTTAGATCCATTTTTAGAAATCTGTTCATAAATTTCTAATAATTTTTTTGGATTTTGATGACATTGAAATAGTCCTCTATTTTTCAGTCAGAAAATCTGCCTGATCATCTTGTTTTTTCTTTGAGAATTTTGGGACACCCAAATTTCTTTGTTCTTGAATCCATAATTGAACTGCTTTTAGACAACAATTTGTTTATTAGAATTTAGACCACCATTTGACTTTGAATCTTATGATCATCTTTTGAGGGAAGTATTCATCATTTTGATTCTGCAGTAGAAATAAATTCCAACAAAAAATTCAGGAAACTTTCATATTGAAGGCAAATTGGAACAAAACATTTTCATGAAGCTTTAAAAATGTTTTTGTCTCTCTTTTGGAGTATTCATATCCTTGAAGAGTAAGACTGGATAAAATTTTCTTTTCAAGTCCATGATACAAAAATCATGTTTGAAACCATTTTGGAAAATGAGGATGACAATTTTGATTGAAAAAAATGAACCATGAATGAATAACAGGTCTAAAGAAAAAGACTCTGTACCAAGTATTCAAATAATCAAAATAATTGAAATATTCAGAAGTTGTAAAATACGTTAAAGAGAGCTTAAGTCTCTTCTCTTCCCAGGGGTTTTGTCCCTAGCCTTCATAAGATAATACCATAAGAATACTGATTTTTGAAAACATTGTATCTTCTTTATTTTGAGGATCTAGAGTATAAGAAATTATGGCTGATCGTGTTTTCAAAATGATAGTCTCATAATAATCTCGAAATTTTTTGACATTTGATGGCATGAACCAAAAATTGGTTGGAAAAATATTTGGAAGACATTCATCCAATTTTTTGTATTTATGAAATCTAGATGTTTCCATATCAAGACAATTTTCAAAGATAATTTTGGTAAAATATTGAAAATTTTGAGGAGGGTTAATTTGAGGAAGTTTTCCAGAACTTTGGACGGCTTTTTTGTAGTTTGAAGGGGTAGCTTTATTTTGATTGGGTTTTTTGATAGGAGTTTAAAAGGGTATTTGAAGAGGAAGAAGCTTTTTGAGCTTCATTTGGAGAATGATCTTTTAAGAGATCATTAATTGAGAAAAATGAGTAGAATTTTTCTTCCTATTTTGCTTCTTTTGGAATGGATTTTGATCTTTTTCTTCAACTTGCTTTGCCCAAATCATTTTCACTCTTTTTGTGAATGAACTCTCTTGTGAGGAAGTCTGCCAAGAAATTTGATTTCCCTTATATATAAAGGATTTCAAAATCGAAACACGACAAAATAATCTGCCATCTTACAAAGATTTGTTTGGAAACAAGATTTTTCACATCTTTTTGTAAAACATCTTTTGAGGCTTTGCAATCTGTTTTCAAAATAAATTTTTTGTTGATAAGATCGTCTTGAAATATATAGTACTATTGAAAGATTTTCTTTTTTCATAGTGGAATAGTTCTTTTGAGATGACTCTAGTGGGATTTGCTTTAACACGCTACCATACCCAATATCTGAA